TATAAAAAGTATATTTGACTTCCAATCATATGGTCTATTATTAATAGTATAGATAATTTTTTCAATTTTAACAATTAGTTCAATCCTTCTATTAATTTCTTTAGTAGTAATACTTTTAGCTTCAATTTTATCTAAAAAACAATTGTAGATCGTGAAAAAGCTTCACCATTCGAATGTGGATTTGACCCAAAATCATCATCTCGTTTACCTTTTCACTTCGATTTTTTTTAATTACTATTATTTTTTTAATTTTTGACGTAGAAATTGCATTAATTTTACCAATTATTTTAATTATTAAATTTTCAAATATTATATGCTGAACAATTACGTCTATTATTTTTATTTTAATTCTATTATTAGGACTTTATCATGAATGAAATCAAGGAATATTAAATTGATCAAACTAAATAGGGTTGTAGTTAATTATAACATTTGATTTGCATTCAAAAAGTATTGAATTTTCAATCTACCTTGAATATGAAGCGATATATTGCAATTAGTTTCGACCTAATCTTAGGTAAATTTACCCTTATTCTTTAAATAATTAATTGAAGCCAAAAAGCGGCTTATCACTGTTAATGATAGAATTGAGTTCTAAACTCCAATTAAGGAAGTATGATGTTCAAGTAAAAGCTGCTAACTTTTTTCTTTTAATGGTTAAATTCCATTTATACTTCTATTTATATAGTTTAATAAAAACATTACATTTTCATTGTAAAATTAAATAATTTTATTTTATAAATTACTAAAAATAATTCAGTATATTCAAAGATTAATTAATCTCCCTAACATCTTCAGTGTCATACTCTAAATATAAGCTATTTGAATAGAAACAAATTATATATATGTATAAAATTACAATTCAAAAAATAAAACTTAATAAATAAATTTTTAAATTATTATTTTGTAATATTTGATTTAACTGAGAATTTTTAATTAAATTGTAATAAAGTTGTTGACCCCCAAAATATTCAGATCAACCTTGGTCAAATGATTTAATTCTTATTTTACCTAAAATTAAAGGATAATTAATAATTCCATAAGTAGAAATATAAGGTATAAATCATATTGAACCTAAAAAATAAGAAAAATTATAATTTCTTAAAGCCTTATTTATAAAAAATAAAGATACATTAGAAATTAAATAACCTATTAAACCACCAATAATACATACAAATAAAGTCAATAACTTTAAATTTAAAGGTAAAATAATAACTTCCGGAGTAGGAAAAATTAATCAACTTAATATACTTCCTCCTACAATTCTTAAAATTAATAAACCTATTATACTCTTTAATATTACTCAACCTTCATCATTAAGTATATTTAAATAAATTTATTGTTTTATGTTTATTCGTTTAAATAAATTCGTTTAAATAAATTTATTGTAACCCATTTCTACTTAAATATAAGCTACACCTTGATCTGATATATTTTCTTTTATAAAATTTTGAAAATTAACATTCTTATAAAATATTCTAATAACGACGGTATATAAACTAAACAAATTTAAGTAAGGTCCATCGTGGATTATCGATTACAGAACAGGTTCCTCTGAATAGACTAAAATACCGCCAAATTTTTTAAGTTTCAGGAACATAACTACTACTACCTAAGTAATTCCTTTTACATTTTAAATAATAGGGTATCTAATCCTAGTTTATTATTAAAATTTTTAAGCTTCAATTAATCATTTAAAAAACAATTTATAATTTAAAAATTTCACCTAATAAATTATATTTTATTTTAAATTAAACAATTTAACTTTTACTGAAAAAATTTATTTGCATTATTCGTATAACCGCGGCTGCTGGCACAAATTTAGCCAATACTCTTTAATATTACTATTTCTAGATTTCTCTAATTAATAATACTAATTACTGCGAATATAAATTATTTTATTTATTATTAAAATAAATAAAAATTCATACAAAAATTTACAGATAAATTAAACTAATAATAAATTTTTAAGCTAAAATAAAACTTTAAACTTAATTTATAAAAATTTTTAAAATTATTTAAAATTTAAAAATTTAAATTAAAACATAAAAATTAGAATTATTAATAATAAATATTATTAAATAATATAAAATTGGTAATTACTCACACAAATTTTGAATCAATTAATTTATCATATTTATAATTTTTTTAATTAAAAAACATAAATAAATTTATTTATAATTAACATTTTATAAAATATACCCCTATATAATTTTATAAATATTAATAATACAAAATAAATGTTATTTTTAACATAAAAAAAAACCAATTATATCCCCTAATATAATTATATTTTAATAGATTTTTTTTAAAAAAAAAAATAAAAATTTTTTAAAATATAATAATTTAATAAATAATTAAATATAGTAAACAAATAATTTATAAATAAAAATTTAATTATATTTTATGAAATAAATCAAAATTAAATTTTTAAATTTTTAAAAAATTTTTAAAAATAAATCAAAAATTTAAATTTTTAGATTTTTAAAAATTTTTTTTTTTTTTAAAAAATCTCGAAGTTTTTTTTTTTTTTTTTTTTAAAAAAATTTTTTTAAAAATTATAAATATTTTTTAATGTTATTATTTTTTTCTAATTGATTTATTATATTTTAATAATATACAATTTATACAATAATAGGTCTCTATTTTTATATTGAGCGTTACAAAATCTGAAATTTAGTCTATATAAAATATTCGTTATACATCTATATATATATAAATATTTAATTGATTAATAGATAGATATTAATCTAGGTATTCATATATATATTAATAAATATTTAATTAATTAATAGATGAATATTAATCCAAATCAAAAAAAAAAATTCACAACCATCCAATTAAGCATAATAGTACGATTAATCTTGATTATTCAGGTATTTATCTATTAATGGTTATCTAATGTCTAATATATAGTATATATTATATAAATAATTTATATATTAATAAGTAATTACATAAATAAAATATATATTATAATATAATTTATATAATTATATTTCCCTATTATTATAATATAAGATTTGTATTAATATGTAATTTTATATAGAGAAATATATATATATATATATATATATATATATATATATATATATATATATATATATATATATATATATATATATATATATATATATATATATATATATATATGCATAAATTAATTATCTAAATTAATTTTTTGCTTATTTTTTAAAAAAAATAAAAAATTATCTTTATACATTAGTACTTAAAATTTTAAAATTACTATTTTTAATTTTTCTCAAAAATTATGTATAAATATATAAAAAAAAAGAGCCTCATTGCATTGAATGAATTGCCTGATAAAAGGGTTACCTTGATAGGGTAAATTATGTAATTAATATTACATTCATTATATTTAATAGAATTAAACTATTTCTAAAAGTATCAAAAACTTTTGTGCATCGTACACCAAAATATATTTATTATAAAAAGATAAGCTAATTAAGCTACTGGGCTCATACCCCATTTATAAAGGTTCTAATCCTTTTCTTTTTAATTTTTAATAATTCATCAAAAATTATATTTTTAACTATTTTAATAATAGGATCTTTAATTGCAATTTCAGCAAACTCTTGAATAGGAGCCTGAATAGGTTTAGAAATTAATTTGTTAGCTTTTATCCCCCTAATAAGAGATAATAAATTAATATCTACAGAAGCATATTTAAAGTACTTTTTAACTCAAGCACTAGCTTCTTCTGTATTTTTATTTGCAGTAATTTTATTTTTACTTAATACTGGTAAAAATAATGCAAATTTAATAGAAATAATTATTCTTTCTTCTTTATTATTAAAGAGAGGTTCTGCTCCTTTCCATTTTTGATTTCCTAATGTAATAGAAGGATTATCATGAATTAATGCATTAATTTTAATAACTTGACAAAAAATTGCTCCGTTAATATTAATTTCTTATGTAATTTTTAAGCCATTAATTATTATCAGAATTATTTTATCAAGTTTAATTGGTGCATTAGGAGGTTTAAATCAAACTTCTTTACGTAAATTAATAGCTTATTCTTCAATTAACCATTTAGGATGAATATTAGCTGCAATATATAATAGAAATATTTGACTAGTATATTTTTTATTTTATACATTTTTAACATTTTCAATAGTGTTAATATTTAATATGTTTAAAATTTCTTATATTAATCAATTATTTTCTTTATTTTTCCATGAAAAAAGAATTCAATTTTTCTTATTTTTTAATCTTCTTTCATTAGGAGGATTACCCCCATTTTTAGGATTCTTACCAAAAATATTTGTAATTCAATCTTTAACTATAAATAATCAATTATTTTTATTAACTTTTATAGTAATAATAACATTAATTACTTTATATTTTTATATTCGATTATGTTATAGTGCTTTTATACTAAACTATTATGAAAATAGTTGAATAACATTTTCATATTATAAGTCTTCAAATATAAAGCTTTTATTAACTTTTTCTTATATTTCAACTTTTGGGTTATTTTTAACTTCTTCCTTATATTTCTTTTTTAAGGCTTTAAGTTAAATAAACTAATAGCCTTCAAAGCTATCAATATAAGAATAATCTTTTAAGCCTTAGTAAATTTATTACTCCTTTAGAATTGCAGTCTAATGTCATTATTGACTATAAAGCTAATTGATTAAAGAGAAAAATTCTCATAAATAAATTTACAATCTATTGCCTAAACTTCAGCCATTTAATCGCAACAATGGTTATTTTCTACTAATCATAAAGATATTGGTACTTTATATTTTATCTTTGGAGCATGATCTGGTATAGTAGGAACATCATTAAGAATTTTAATTCGAGCTGAATTAGGACACCCTGGTGCTCTAATTGGAGACGATCAAATTTATAATGTTATTGTAACAGCTCATGCTTTTATTATAATTTTCTTTATAGTAATACCTATTATAATTGGAGGGTTTGGAAATTGATTAGTTCCTTTAATATTAGGAGCTCCAGATATAGCATTCCCTCGAATGAATAATATAAGTTTTTGATTATTACCTCCTGCATTAACTCTATTATTAGTAAGAAGTATAGTAGAAAAGGGAGCTGGAACAGGTTGAACTGTTTATCCACCTTTATCATCAATTATTGCTCATGGTGGAGCTTCAGTTGATTTAGCTATTTTCTCTCTTCACTTAGCAGGAATTTCTTCAATTTTAGGAGCAGTAAATTTTATTACAACTGTTATTAACATACGATCAACAGGAATTACATTCGATCGAATACCTTTATTTGTTTGATCAGTTGTAATTACTGCATTATTATTATTATTATCTCTTCCTGTTCTTGCTGGAGCTATTACTATACTATTAACTGATCGAAATTTAAATACTTCATTCTTTGATCCAGCTGGAGGAGGTGATCCAATTCTTTATCAACACTTATTCTGATTCTTTGGACATCCAGAAGTTTATATTTTAATTTTACCTGGATTTGCAATAATTTCTCATATTATTAGTCAAGAATCAGGAAAGAAGGAAACATTCGGTTCTTTAGGAATAATTTATGCTATGTTAGCAATTGGACTTTTAGGATTTATTGTATGAGCTCATCATATATTTACTGTTGGAATAGACGTTGATACTCGAGCTTACTTTACTTCAGCTACAATAATTATTGCTGTACCTACTGGAATTAAAATTTTTAGTTGATTAGCTACATTATACGGAACTCAACTAACTTATTCTCCAGCTATTTTATGAGCTTTAGGATTCGTATTCTTATTTACTGTAGGAGGTTTAACATGAGTAGTATTAGCTAATTCATCTGTTGATATTATTTTACATGATACATATTATGTAGTTGCTCATTTCCACTATGTACTTTCTATAGGAGCTGTATTTGCTATTATAGCAGGATTTGTACATTGATATCCTCTATTTACTGGATTAACTCTAAATAATAAACTTTTAAAAAGTCAATTTGTTATTATATTTATTGGAGTAAATTTAACATTCTTCCCTCAACATTTCTTAGGATTAGCTGGAATACCTCGACGATATTCTGATTATCCTGATGCTTATACAGCATGAAATGTAATTTCAACAATCGGTTCAACAATTTCATTATTGGAATTTTATATTTATTCTATATTATCTGAGAAAGTTTAGTATCTCAACGACAAGTAATTTTCCCAATTCAATTAAATTCATCAATTGAATGATTACAAAATACTCCACCTGCTGAACACAGATATAATGAATTGCCTTTACTAACTAATTTCTAATATGGCAGATTAGTGCAATGGATTTAAGCTCCATATATAAAGTATTTTACTTTTATTAGAAACTAATGTCAACATGAGCAAATTTAGGTTTACAAGATAGTTCTTCTCCATTAATAGAACAATTAATTTTTTTTCATGATCATGCATTAATAATTTTAGTAATAATTACAGTATTAGTCGGATATTTAATGTTTACATTATTTTTTAATAAATATGTTAATCGTTATTTATTACATGGACAAACAATTGAAATTATTTGAACTATTTTACCTGCAATTATTTTATTATTCATTGCTTTCCCTTCTTTACGATTATTATACTTATTAGATGAAATTAATGAACCATCAGTAACTTTAAAGGCTATTGGTCATCAATGATATTGAAGTTATGAATATTCAGATTTTAATAATGTTGAATTTGATTCTTATATAATTCCTACAAATGAATTACCAGTAGACGGATTTCGTTTATTAGATGTAGATAATCGAGTAGTTTTACCAATAAATTCTCAAATTCGAATTTTAGTAACTGCTGCTGATGTAATTCATTCATGAACTGTTCCTGCTTTAGGTGTAAAGGTTGATGGTACTCCTGGTCGTCTAAATCAAACTAATTTCTTAATTAATCGACCAGGTTTATTCTATGGACAATGTTCAGAAATTTGTGGAGCTAATCATAGTTTTATACCAATTGTAATTGAAAGTATTCCTGTAAATTATTTTATTAAGTGAATTTCTAAAAATAATTCTTCATTAGATGACTGAAAGCAAGTACTGGTCTCTTAAACCATTTTATAGTAAATTAGCACTTACTTCTAATGAAAAAATTAGTTAAAAATATAACATTAGTTTGTCAAACTAAAATTATTAATTTATTAATATTTTTTAATCCCTCAAATAGCACCAATTGGTTGATTAAGCTTATTTATTATTTTTTCAATTACATTTGTAATTTTTAATGTAATAAATTACTATTCATATATTCCTTCAATACCTAAATCAAATTTAAGTAATAAAACTCATTCAACAAAGTCATTAAATTGAAAATGATAACAAATTTATTCTCTGTTTTTGACCCTTCATCAAGTATTTTTAATCTTTCATTAAATTGATTAAGAACTTTTTTAGGAATTTTAATAATTCCATCAATATACTGACTTATACCATCTCGATACCACATTTTTTGAAATAATATTTTATTAACACTTCATAAGGAATTTAAAACTCTACTTGGTCCTATAGGAGCAAACGGTTCTACATTTATTTTCGTTTCATTATTTTCTATAATTTTATTTAATAATTTTATAGGATTATTTCCATATATTTTTATAAGAACAAGTCATTTAACTTTAACTCTAACTCTAGCTCTTCCTTTATGATTATGTTTTATATTATATGGATGAATTAACAATACTCAACATATATTTGCTCATTTAGTTCCTCAAGGAACTCCAGCTATTTTAATGCCATTTATAGTATGCATTGAAACTATTAGTAATGTAATTCGACCAGGAACTTTAGCTGTTCGATTAACAGCTAATATAATTGCTGGACATCTACTTCTTACTCTTTTAGGAAATACAGGACCTTCTTTATCTATAGTATTAATTAGTTTTTTAATTATTACACAAATTGCATTATTAGTTTTAGAATCAGCAGTTGCAATAATTCAATCATACGTATTTGCTGTTCTAAGAACATTATATTCTAGAGAAGTTAATTAATGTCAACACATTCAAATCACCCATTTCATTTAGTAGATTATAGTCCATGACCATTAACAGCATCAATTGGAGCTATAACAACAGTTGCAGGAATAGTAAAATGATTTCATCAATATGATAATTCATTATTCTTATTAGGAAATGTTATTACAATTTTAACTGTATACCAATGATGACGAGATTTTTAATTAATATATTAATTAGCAAAAATGCAAATTTGCAAAAAATTTAACAATTTTTTAATTTCAACTATAACGATCGATAGGAAATTTAACGTACATTAAAATGACACCCGACAACAATATTTTATTTACACTGGAAAAGCCAAAAAGTACACTTTTTTCACTATTATTTTGGTTTATTTGTTTTTCTATAATTTTTTTTTTCGAATGCCGACGGCAAAACAATATTAGCAAAACTAGACAGCGGGGGAACGGAGTACGCGACGCGTTGTAAAACGGCCACAAAAAAAAAAAAAAAAATAAACGACACGATTGTTGTTGTTTTACACAATTTTTTCCGAAAATTCTTTTTCTATAGAATTTTATTATTTTTTTTTCACAAGGCACTTTTTTCACTTTACGTTCCTGGTTGTTTTTAATGGAAACACGATTATGATGATGATAATGATGATGACGATGAATGTGATGATGTGGACTGTATGTTTTGTTGGTGAGGATGCTTTGCAAAAGAACAAAAGAAGAAAACAATTAATTCCTTGTTGCCGACAGCTCGTTATCCGGTCCGAAGTGACCAATGTTTGCGCCAATGCGGGGAAAGGGGGAATTGCAAAGCAAACCAATACAAAATAAAATAAATAAAAACACACAATAGTGGGGTTAGTTTTATAATATAAAATTAGGCTAGGCTTTATTAATAATAAATATAATGGATTTTGGTAAACAATATTACCTTAATTTGCACGATAGCGGGGGAGAGCCTTCGTTCGTATCGGGGCGATAGAAGAAGAAGAGCCTTTTACAACAAAACAACGATCCCAACATGAAGTAAGGCGGCGTTGGCGCCATTCGCCACTCGTTGAAATCTGTTGACATTGACAGATTTCAACGATATTAATCATTTACAAGTAATTAGGCGTTAACCCATTGTTAACGTAGCAAAACACTAATCTAAATTAAACATGACGCCCACTTTGCAATATATTGAGATGTTGTAACTAAAATGCAATACATAGTTATATATTTTTTAGCTTTTTTTTCAATTCAATTCTTTTTTTTTTTTCTTTTTTTTAAATTCAATTCATTTTTTCCAAACACATTTTGTAACACTATATGTTACATATGCCCGACAATACCCACCCAAATATGGTGTAGTGGGCTATCGGTAACCCTGGCGTCGCATGCACCCGATGTGTTACAACCCTGGCATAGACTTCCGGCCCGAGTACAAGGGCCACCCGACCAGGCCTATTAAAATCGGGATCTGCCAAAGGAAGACCAAGAAAGGAGTATTTTATGCGCTCTGGGATTGCCGCTGTAGGCGTACGCGCATGGTCCAGATGGGTCACCACTGCCACTATTGACAAGGACTGACTCCGGTCGTATATCGAGGTGAGATTAAGCCTACATATATGGCTACCGACGTTTCTAGAAGTAGGGATACGAAGACTATGCACCAGAGAGGAGCATATCTGACTCTGCCTACTACATTGGTCCAATACCGGCCTCACGATAGAGGGACGGCCAAAAGCATCAACTTTGACTAACAAAGTCGGGGAAATGCAGATACCAGACTGGAGGGACAACAAGCCGGCCAGTCCTACCTGCGAGGGGGAAGCATTTTCAGTCGGACGATAGTAAGGACTATGACGCGAACGGTGCCTATAATCCGTATGCGGACGACGCCGGCTATTACTTGTGGGTTTAACCACGGTCTTCGAATCAACATGAAGGAGAGTTTGGTGATCTTCGTTGCATACGGCACACTTTCTTTTACTTTGACAGTCCCTGGCTTGGTGGGATTTCACTAAACACCGTATGCAATCATTAAATTTAACAACAACTCTACGACGCATGTCAACATTCATGACGCGGAAGTCGCTACATCTATCCAAAGGGTGCATGCGGTCACAAAGGCGACATTTATGGGAGGCCCCAGATGAATCCCGAGAGGATTCGGACCTACCAGATTTGGGCGACTCCTCCAACGAGTGAGGAGTGGCAACCGGAGCCGCAGATGGACCCGAAGATCCGGACTCGGTACCCGATTTTTCAATTTGGGGGTTATCGGCAGGGACCGGAGCCGCAGATGAATCCACATATTTGGATTCGGACTCGGTTTGCATCAATTCGACAGTAGAGGCGAGGGCCGCAGATGAATCCGACTTGTTCGATTCGGACCCAGGCTCAGAGATTGTCACAGCAGCAATTGGTTCCACGAGGGCTGCTTCCACGACAGCAGAGGACAATGTGGTCTCAGTGGGGACACAATCCGGGGTGGCATTATCGTCATCCACGTTCAAGAGTTCGTCTTCGGTATATAATTTCATCAACATACTATATAACGAGAAGCGAACCATTTTAATTACAAATTGAGGGGTGGTCGGTCAGAATGACCAACTTGGTGGTGGACCGTCTTACAACGCCGTTCTCGGTTCGGACGTCTGCGACTCGAACGTGACCGTCAGTTCCCGGATAAACATTTACGACCCGGCCTAATTTCCACGACGTTGGCGGAAGCTGGTCATGACGAACAACAACTAGCTCGTCTATGGCTATCTCGCGCTCTGGAAATTTCCATCTATACCTCATGTGTAAATGTTTCAAATATTCCTCTTTCCACCTCAAACTAAACTGGTGGGCGAGGGCCTGAACTTTTCTAAGCCGATTAACTAAGCTTAATGGTTGCTGTGTGATGAGAGGTTCAGGCGGTGCTAACAAAGGGGGTCCAAATAAGATAATGTCTTGGCGTCGACGCGACTATTTCGTCAGAACTGTGCGACATCGGACAAAAACTTTTCCAATCAGCCTCAGTAGCTGTTAAAAGTTAAACATCTCATCTGTAACAATCATTGGGGGATCAAACATTTTCGCAAAAGCTGAAATAGCTTCCCTCTTAATTGTTAACTGCAAAGTAGACAAAAAATCTAAAATCAAATTTCACCTAACGCCCACAGGTTTGTGACTACTAGCTCCAGCATACGATAATAATTCAGCGTCAACCAAAAGCTCAGGGGGGAGTAGCCGAAAGGGAACCACTAACTCCTGATACAACAGCATTAGCAGGGGATGCGGGAAGCTTCAATCGATCTATCAGCGCCCTAGCAGGATACAAAACTCCTTGGTGAACGATATTCACCACCGCCGTACCTAAAATACAGATTTGTTCTGTGCAGTGTGGAACACCTGGCGGGGTACACATCCAGTTGATGTTGCACGAACTAGATGGACTGGAACTCGAATTTTGAGGGACATTAGATGTCACAGTGGAAGTTGGAGTCGAATTACCCAATGTAAAATCTTCCCGATGTAACAATGTATGATGTGCCTTATTGCACTTCGAACATCGACGTTTACTATCACAATTCTTTACTTCGTGACCATAACGAAGACAATTTATACAAAGGTGATGGCGTTTCATAACTTTATACCTATCAGCGGATTTTAAGCTCTTAAAACGGGGACAGTCATACAATTTATGACGTTGATTTCGACAAATGACGCAATTTGAATTTTTCGAAGCGCGGGGAGAAGAAGGCGATCTTAAAACATTAATATGCGAATGATGCGCTTGTACTTGTCTATTACAAAACCGTTTAGACTCATCGGTGCCACGCATGTCATGAAGACACATGAGCGTACGAATTCTCTCAGTGAGAAAAGCATCCAAGTCTTTCCAAGACGAAAGAGAGGATTTATCCTTTACACTTTGCTCCCAAAGGGTCTGAGTAAGTTTTGGCAGTCGTTGGAGACACAAAAACACAAGAATCGGATCTCAATTTTCAGTTTTAACATCATAAATTGCCATCGAAGTTAAACAACCATTTATACCGCGTTGGAGCGTTTTT